GAAAGCAGTGTGGTGATTCCTAAAAGCTCCAAATATCAACCTCCCATATGACCCTGCAATTCCCCTACTGGGAATATACCCTGAAGAACTCTGATCACTCTATAAAAAAGATACCTGCACATGAATGTTTATCGCAGCATTGTTCACAATAGCAAAAACTTGGAACCAGCCATGCTGTCCATAAAAGAGGACTGGATGAAAAAAATGTGGTACATATACATGATGGAATACTATGCAGCCATAAAAAAGAACAAAATCATGAATTTCACAGCAACCTGGGTGGAACTAGAGTCTACAATACTGAGTGATCTCTCACGGAAACCAAGATCTGAGTATCACATGTTCTCACTCATATAGTGGATCTTGAACATCTACCATAATACTATAAAAAAAGGACTGACAGTGGTGGGAAACTATGGGGGCGGGTAGGGAGGGGAAGGGAGGTGGGACTAACGGTAGTCAATATCTGTCTGGGGATGGGGAGACACCCCTTATTAACAAGTGTGCCTGAATGATGCACATTTGTATACCTAACCTTTAACTGTACCCCACAATTTTATAATTAAAAATATGTTTAAAAAAATAAAATAAAAATAAAAAAATAAAAATAAAAAATGCGAACTATTGCCTTGCTAACATCTGGTGTGGCCATATTCTCTTTGAGCTATGGCTGTCGCCATGCTTCCTGACTTTGGCCCCCTCTCCCATCTTGGGGAGGTGAATCTCCTCTTTCTCTCTCTCCAATTTACTTTCTAAATAAACTATATTTTCTAATCTAAGAAAATGCAAAAATTATTCTTAGCTTGTGGGTCTTACAAAACCAGTTGGTGGACTGGATTTGGCTCATAGGTGAAAGGGAGAGGCAGTTGCTACTTCACATGTACTCTCTCAGGACATTCTCCCCAAATTTTGGGACCCGAGGAAGGAAAAGCTCTTGTAAGGAAGGAGTATGAAAACCTTTGCATTATCCTCAGCTTCTTCTGTAATTGCTTTCTCAAAGTCTGGCTCCAACAGCAAGAATGAATTTAACCAGAAGGTAATGAAGCTTAGTCTTCTTCGCCCTCACCTGCTTCTTCCCTGGGAGGAGCTCAGCATGTATTCATACAATCAGGTTTTTGTAAAATTTTGCAGGAAAAAGAGAAACATTATTCTGACTTGGACTAGCAAATTGTAACATCTTTTGTCCAGATCATACCAAAAACAGCAATTCATAAAGAAGAAGAGACACATTTCAAATAAAAATAATACATAGGTTATTTTGATAAGTTTTTGAGAATTCAATTACTGAATATAAACAAATTAGATATATATTTACAGTTTTGTTGATTTGAAATTAATACCAATACCAACAGAAATATTATAAAATTATGAAATGCCACTACACTGATGCTTTCAATGACAAACTAATTAATACATTTCACCAATTCAAGTGTACCTAAAGCGTATTTAAAGTGTATTTCCTTCACAGGAAACTTGAAAATCATTGTAATGTTATAGTTCTCTGATCAAGGCACCCTTAATGTTCCCCTCACCCTGATTAAACTTTAGACAGGCTACATCTTGACTCTAGGTCCTGATCTCCCCTTTTTTTTTAGAGCATTTTCC